TTTTTTTCCTTCGGGCAGTTTTTGCGGGTGTGCCCCGCTCCACTGCACCCGAAACATCTTAGGGCTACCGACGAGGCAAAGACTATATAGGTGTGCCCGTCGATAGCGTACTTCATCGTCAGTTCTATTTCTGACTTGCCATCCTTTGGAATTATATACACCTGGCGCTGCAGGGATTTAACATGCGCCAGCCGCGGGTTCTTCGTCCGCAGTGGCACCATCGTAACGTTAGACACTACCGTCCCGAAGCGCTCTAGGTCTTTCTTCAGGGTCGCACCCGGGAGGAAGGGGGGGGCTCCAGAAAGGAGCACCCTAATGGCCGGTGTCGCGAGAGGGGTGCACTGAAGCAGTTGCTCACCAACGACAATGCCGGTCGCCACTACGCCGTTCACTATCTCCTCCCTTGCCACGTACACCACCACACCGTGGTCCTGTCGTTGGGCTGCCCACACATTGGGGTAGCCGACGACCTCGGCCACCACCTCTGCTACGGCCTCCGCAGTCGTTGTTGGCGGCGGGAAGACGATGAAGCCGTTCCGCTTTGTGAGACCTTCCAGTCTCGTGCAGTGCTCCATCGTGCACAAAGGAAAAAAACCCCTCTGTGGCCTCAAGCCGCAATAAAAGAAAGAAATAAAAGAAAAAACCTACAGGGGGAAGGGCGTATGGTTAAAGGTTCTTTTCCTTTTAAAGAAAGAAAGAAAAAGGTCGCCAAAGAGTAGGATGCTAGAAGGAAAAACCGTATGTAAACTCTCACTCCAGGCCGAGCCAGGCTCACACCTGTGCCCAGGCCTCCGTTCACACCAACGCTAGGGCAGGAGCTCAGGTGAAACGCAGCCACACCCGACGGTGGTGAGAGAGAGAGAGAGAGAGAGAGTGAGAGAGAGAGATAGAGATTTGAATGCCTTTATTTCGGCACCGTCTGCAAAATGCAGTGGCACCCATGTGCGCCAAATAAATCCAATAAACACAAAAACCGCACAAAACACAACCAACGTCGCGCCCGCGTCAGTATGCAGGCTCCGTTTGCACTGAGAGAGGGGGGGGTTCTGGGGGGGGGCGGGGGGGGGGCATCCGCTCAGGGGGGGGGAGGGGGGGGTCAAACGAAAACCGGACCGCGCCATCCTTGACCGTGCACAGGGCGTCCCGCGCCCTACCCCACCGCGGGAGGAACTCCCCCTCGGCTGCCGACAGTCTGTAGTGGGCGAGTTCCAACCGCACGCGCGCTTTTATTAGGGCCTGCGCCACTTGCAGCACCCCCGCGCCGACGACCTTCCCCTCCAGCGCACGCTTCCTTGTGGTATACGTCGCAAGCTTTGCCTGCGCGCACACAAAGTTTGCCACGTCTCTGGCGGGGCTCGCCACTCCCGTCACCCCGTATATGTAGGCGCTCTCACTGGCCGGTACGTCCAGCTCCCGGAACACCTCTTTCACAAAATCCCAGAGCGGGGCCAGCCTTGCACACTGAAGGTAAGCGTGGACCACGTCCTCCCTCACTCCGCAGAACACGCACGTGTCCGGGGTCCCCGGCACGGCGCGGCTGACCCACACGGCCACTGGCAGCGTGCGGTGCACGAGCCGCCACTGCAGGTCACCGCATCGCTTGGTGGTGGGAGGGCGATACAGGTTCCTCCACTGAGGCCCCGCGGTGTCCAGCGCCCCAAAATGCCCTCTCCATGCCGTGTCCGGCTGGCCCGCCAGCTCCGCGGTCAGCGCCGCCTTCAAGCAGGCATCGTAGAGCCGCGTTTTGCCCGCGCCGTCAAGCGGCACCTCTGTGCACCCCGCCACGTGCAGCAGCGCCCCGTCCTCCACGTGGCCGTCGGGGGCGCGGACCGAAAATGCCAGCGGAGGGAACGGGGGGGGGTCCTCCTCCCCGACCTCCGTCAGCCGAACGTCCAGCGCCCGCATCGCCCGCAGGGCCTCTCTCAGCACCTTGGCTCCCGCCAGGACTGTGCGGCGTCCGGCCGCTCCTGAGATTTCAAGGGCCGTGCGCCACGTGACCCGTCCGGGCGCCAGCAGGTCTCCGACCCTTGCGATGCCGCGTTCGGCAAAACGCCCGGCCAGGGCGTGCTCCCCCCGCAAGCCGGGCAGAGCTGGATTTGCGAACAGGGGCTCCCCTACGAAGTGGGCCGCCCCGTATTCGCCTCCGACCCGCGCCCACACCAGCGCCCCCCACGCGTCCATCACTCCTTGGTAGACTGCGGGCAGCATGGCGCGGTCCACTATGGTCCTATCCGTGAGGAACAGTTCGTGGGCGTACCCCAGACACCCGGCGCGCCGCAGCAGGCCGAGGGCCAGGGGCCGCCCAGGCCGTTCATCCCCCCCGTACAGCAGTCGCTGCGCCTGTTGGAGCCTGAAAGTCCGGATTCGCGCAGCGACGTGAACGAGGCCCTGTCCCCCCTCCTCCACCGGCAGACAGAGGACCCCAGGCCTCTGCCAGTGGCGACCATGCCACACAAAGGCGGTGAACCGCCTCTGTATTCGCGCCACTAGCCCCGCCGGGGGTTGCAAGGCTTTGGCTTTGTGCCAGAGAAGTGCCGCGGCCAAATTATTTACTACGAGGACCCTCCCACGGTAGGCCATTCCCGGGGCGAACCGGGCCCACGCCGCCAGCGTCGTGCCAATTTTTCCTTCCACCTCCTCCCAATTTTGCTCGACCTCTACCGGGCTTCCCAGATGTACCCCGAGGTAGTGGGCTCCCCCCGCTCCCCAGGCCACGCCTCCCGGGAGCGCCAGGGAGCCCACCACCCCGCCCGGCCTCAGTGCTATTGCCTTGCTCTTTTCCCAATTTACGCTGGCGGCGGAGGCCCCCTCGTAGAGGCGTACCGCGCCTCGTACCGCCTCCACGTCTTGCGCGCTTGCCACCACGACGCACACATCGTCAGCGTACGCCGAAAGCGTGACCGGCGCGTCGCCCGCGCCCGGGAACCGAAAACCCCCCAGCGTTCCCCGCAGCCGTCGTAGGAGAGGCTCTATGCACAGAGTGTAAAGGATGCCGGACAGGGGACACCCCTGCCGGACCCCTCCCCCCACGGCCAAGGGGGCGCCGAGTTTGCCATTTACTTTAACGAGGCTGCTCACCTCGGTGTACAAGAGGCGCACCTGCGCCCTGAAAGCTGGCCCTACCCCATATGCCTCCAGCGCCTTGTACATATATTCATGCGAGACGCGGTCGAACGCCTTCGCCTGGTCCAGAAACAACAGGCCTGCGTCAATGCCGTGGGCGGCGGCGAGGTCCATAATGTCGCGCACCACCCCGACGTTGTCATGTATGGCTCTCCCCGGAACGCAGTACGACTGGTCCGGGTGCACGAGGCTCCCCGCCACGGTCTTCAGGCGGTTCGCCAGGGCTTTAGCCAAAATCTTGCAGTCCGTGCATAGCACGGACACCGGCCTCCAGTTATCCAAACGGCGCAGGTCGCCCTTTTTCGGGAGCAACGTCACGACCGCGCGCCTGCTGCTCTGCGGCAGCACCCCCGACCGGAGGCTCGCTCGCAGCACGTCGGCGAGCGCCGGTCCGAGCTCAGGCCAGAAGGTCGTGTACACCTCGGCGGGGAGGCCGTCTATACCGGGGGCCTTCCCCGCGGCGAGACTCCTCACCGCGGCCTCCAGCTCTGGCAGGGTGACCTGCTCGTCCAGCCGTTTGGTGTCAGACGAAGCCAAACTGGGGACGCCCTCTAGGAGTTCCGCCACCGCCTCCCCGTCAAACTCCCTCTCCGCAAATAGCTGGCCGTAGTACCCGTTGACGAGGCGCATGATTCCCTCCCCGTCGCACTGGGTCTCCCCGTCCGGCCCCGTCAGGCTGGTAATGTCGGTTCGCTGGGCCCGCGTGGCCCCCTGCCTGAAAAAGGCTTTTGTCGGCGCGTCCATGCTGTACAGGTGGGTCATTTTCCGGCCCACAAACCCCCTGTACGCGTCGTTGTCTGAGACGGCCCTCAGGAGCCGCTGTTGTTGCCGCAGCTCCCTGCAGCCGTCGGCGGCGGGGTGGTGGCCCAATGCTTCCTCCACCACCAGCACCCGGGCCCGGAGAACCTCCTCCTCCTCACGCCGGGCCGCCACGCGTTGGCCCATGTAGGCCCTTGCCAGCACCCCCACCTGGGCCTTCCCGTTGTCCCACCACTGCTGGAGTGTGGCGAAACGGCCCCGTCTCCCCTCCCACACCTTCCACAAGGCCCGGAAAGCCGCCAGAAACCCACCGTCGTCCAACAGGTCCACGTTCAACCTCCAATACGGGCGCCCTTGCCCGCCGTGAGGGAGATGCAGGCGCACGTGCACCATGTGGTGGTCGGAGAAGCCGGTGGGGATTACCCCGCTCTCACCGAGCAGGCTGGCCCCCCCCGGCGCGACGTACATCCGATCCAGCCTGGCCAGGCTCGGCCGCCCTCCCGCACCGCACCTGCTCCAAGTGTACTGGCGCCGGCCCGGGTTTTGGAGCCGCCACGCGTCCAAAAGTCCGTTGTCAGCCACGACGGCCGCCCACTCTCTCGCCGATTCGGGGTGCGGTTCCGGCCCAGTCCGATCCAGGGAGGGTTGGAGTGTGCAATTAAAGTCTCCCGCCACGACCGTGACCGCTCCCTCGTCGCCGCCGGTCTCCGCCACCACCCGCCGTAATTCTCCTTTGAAGAACTCAGCCCTGTCCCTCGACCTGCTGGGCGCGTACACGTTAATCACGTGGGTCTTGGTGCCGGCGAGCACCATGTCCGCCACGACGAGGTGGCCAGCCACTATCTCCCGATACGTCAGGGCGTCTGGGGCGAAAGTCCGGGAGCACACCACCGCGACCCCCGCCGCCCCGTCCACGCCGTTGCTAAAAAAAAAGGAACGCCCGTGCAGCATCTGCTGGCGGCTCGGGTGTAGCGCGGCGTCCAGGTGGGTTTCCTGAATCAAGGCTACGTCGACCGCTTGGTCGTCGAGGAGCCTGCACAGGCGGCGCCACCGGTCCTCGCTGCGCAGTCCGTTGCAGTTTATGGTTGCAACAATCAATCCTGGCCCCATCGCGGCTTTCAGGGGAGGTCCACGCACGCCGGCACCCTCGAGGCCACTTTTGAGGCCACCTTCTCCTTGCCCCGCAGCCTCGTCATCATACCCTTGATGCGGTAGCGCTCCCTCGGGGTGCAGCCGTACTCTGCCGGCCGCCGGCAGATCTCCTGCGCCGTGGAGAGGAACGCGTCCGCGTCCGGGAAGACCTTATGGGGCACCACCCTCTTGCCATAATTTTCCCTAAAAAAGGCCAGGATGGCCTGCGCGGGCATCTTTCTGTCCGGTTCTACCGGGCTGCAGCTCCACTCGCTTCCGCAGACGCTGCCCCCGTCGCCCTCATGCACGGTGTAGGCGTCGTCGTCTACGCCGTCGTCGTCGCCGCCTCCTCCCGGGGCGCCGCAGTCGTCATCGTCGCCGCCGCCGCCGCCGCCGCCGCCGCCTCCACCCGCGCCGGCATCCGCGCGCTCGGCGCGGCCGCCCCCGGGGTCAGCGTCACCTGCCCACCACCGTGGGTCCAGGACGCCGCTCGGACCGGGGCGACTTTCGTCACCCGGCTCGACGGGCGCTCCCTCGGCCGCCGTCGTCGCCGGCTGCAGCGCACCTCCGTCGCTGCCACAGGTGTCCGTCACTGGGGGGGTGGGGGGGGTGGGGGGGGTGGGGGGGGGTGGGGGGTGGGGGGGGTGGGGAGGGGGTGGGGTGGGGGGTGGTGGGGGGCGGTGGGGGGTGGGGGGGTGGGGTGGTGGGGGGGGGGGGGGTGGGGGGGGTGGGGGGGGTGGGGGGGGTGGGGGGGGTGGGGGGGGTGATGGTTCCTCCAAGGTCCATCTCCTCCCCTCGCGCCTCGTTCTCAGCATCGACGGGCGGTCTCGCCGCGTCTCTCTCGATGCCGGCCGTGCGCTTCGGGGGGGCGCCTTCGCCCTCCACCTCCACGTGCCCGTTCTTCGCCTTCCTCTTGGCCCTCTGCTTCTTACGACTCCCCTCGACCACTACGAAGCCGGCGGAGTCGTCCCCCCGCGCCTGCGCGTCGTTGGCTGGTTGCGCTCCCGGCGGGTCGTGGCTGGTAACCTGCCGCTCCCGCCGGTCCTGGCACTCGTCCTGCTGCGGCTGCTGTTGCTGCTGCTGCCGCTGCTGTTGCTGCTGCTGCGTCGGCTGCCGCCGCTGCGGCTGCTGCTGCTGCTGCGGCTGCTGCTGCTGCTGCTCCTGCTGCTCCTGTTGCTGCGGCTGCTGCTGCTGCTGCGGCTGCTGCTGTTGCTGCTGCTGCGGCTGCTGCTGCTGTTTTTGTTGCTGCTGCTGCTGCTGCTGCTCCTGTTGCTGCGGCTGCTGCTGCTGCTGCGGCTGCTGCTGCTGTTTTTGTTGCTGCTGCTGCGGCTGCTGCTGCTGCTGCTTTTGTTGTTGCTGCTGCTGCTGCCCTTGGTGTTGTTGCCGCGGCTGTTGCTGCTCCTCCGGTCGGACCCATTGTCCCGGCATCGCCGCGGCAGGTGGCGCGACCAACCCGCTCACCTTGCTCGGGCAGTTTCTACGGGCGTGGCCCGGTTTGCCACACCCGTAGCATCGGAGCCCAACCGAAGAGGCATACACCGTGTAAGTGCTTTTGTTTATGGTGTATTTGAGTGTAACGTCAAGTTCTTCGGCCCCATTCTTCAGGACCATAAAAACTTGGCGCTGTAGTGCCTTGACATGGGTGAGTGCTGCGTTGCTCGTTCTCATGGGCAGTGTTGTGATGCTCGACACGGCCGTGCCGAAGCGCTGCAGGTCGACGCGCAGCTCGGCGTTGGAGAGGTACGGCGGCGTGCCGGAGAGCAGCACGCGGACCGCGGGCGAGGCGAGCGGGGCGCACTGCACAAACAGCTCCCCCACCGTGAGCCCCTTCTCCACGACTCGCGCCACCATCTCCTCCTCCGCCACGAACACGGTGACGCCGCGGTTTTGGCGCTGGACGGCCAAGACGCCGGCGGAGCCGACGCACGCGGCCACCGCGCCGGCGACAGCATCGGCTGTCACCTCAGGTGGAGGGAAAGCCACGAGGCCGTTCCTCCGCGTGAGGCTCAGCATCCTCGCGTCCTCCTCTTCCGCGCGCTGGCGCTGCGCCATGATGGTGGTGGCAGAGTACCTTTGCGCTGTGTCGTTGGGCGTTCGCTGGCAGTGCTGCTTTCGTAAATGTTGTCGTTGTTGTCGTTGTTGCCGTTGCTTTGTTAAGTCGCGCCGCGTGTGCGTCGTCCCGCGTGCGCGTGTGGAAGGGGAAAAGGAAAAAAATCCGCACAAAAGAAATCTCGCCGCGAGTCGAACGACCGTGGACTTTCGGTCGACGAGCTCGGCGGACCAAAAAAAAGGAAAATAAAGAAAAACCTGGGAAAAGCCAAATAAGGGAGTGGGGGGAATAAAGATGAAAACCGAAAAACGAGGGATGAAAGTATCGTCCTTTGGTTATTCGGCGGTATGAAACTCTCTCGCGGCCTGAGCCCAGGCCCCCATCCACACCAACGTTGGGGCAGGAGCTCAGGTGAAACCAACCGCACCCAACGAGAGTGAGAGAGAGAGAGAGAGATTGATTTTTGAATGCCTTTATTTCGGCACCGTCTGCAAAATGCAGTGGCACCCATGTGCGCCAAATAAATCCAATGAACACAAAAAACCGCACAAAACACAACCAACGTCGCACCCGCGTCAGTATGCAGGCTCCGTTTGCACTGAGAGGGGGGGGGGTTCTGGGGGGGGGCGGGGGGGGGGCATCCGCTCAGGGGGGGGGAGGGGGGGGTCAAACGAAAACCGGACCGCGCCATCCTTGACCGTGCACAGGGCGTCCCGCGCCCTACCCCACCGCGGGAGGAACTCCCCCTCGGCTGCCGACAGTCTGTAGTGGGCGAGTTCCAACCTCACGCGCGCTTTTATTAGGGCCTGCGCCACTTGCAGCACCCCCGCGCCGACGACCTTCCCCTCCAGCGCACGCTTCCTTGTGGTATACGTCGCAAGCTTTGCCTGCGCGCACACAAAGTTTGCCACGTCTCTGGCGGGGCTCGCCACTCCCGTCACCCCGTATATGTAGGCGCTCTCACTGGCCGGTACGTCCAGCTCCCGGAACACCTCTTTCACAAAATCCCAGAGCGGGGCCAGCCTTGCACACTGAAGGTAAGCGTGGACCACGTCCTCCCTCACTCCGCAGAACACGCACGTGTCCGGGGTCCCCGGCACGGCGCGGCTGACCCACACGGCCACTGGCAGCGTGCGGTGCACGAGCCGCCACTGCAGGTCACCGCATCGCTTGGTGGTGGGAGGGCGATACAGGTTCCTCCACTGAGGCCCCGCGGTGTCCAGCGCCCCAAAATGCCCTCTCCATGCCGTGTCCGGCTGGCCCGCCAGCTCCGCGGTCAGCGCCGCCTTCAAGCAGGCATCGTAGAGCCGCGTTTTGCCCGCGCCGTCAAGCGGCACCTCTGTGCACCCCGCCACGTGCAGCAGCGCCCCGTCCTCCACGTGGCCGTCGGGGGCGCGGACCGAAAATGCCAGCGGAGGGAACGGGGGGGGGTCCTCCTCCCCGACCTCCGTCAGCCGAACGTCCAGCGCCCGCATCGCCCGCAGGGCCTCTCTCAGCACCTTGGCTCCCGCCAGGACTGTGCGGCGTCCGGCCGCTCCTGAGATTTCAAGGGCCGTGCGCCACGTGACCCGTCCGGGCGCCAGCAGGTCTCCGACCCTTGCGATGCCGCGTTCGGCAAAACGCCCGGCCAGGGCGTGCTCCCCCCGCAAGCCGGGCAGAGCTGGATTTGCGAACAGGGGCTCCCCTACGAAGTGGGCCGCCCCGTATTCGCCTCCGACCCGCGCCCACACCAGCGCCCCCCACGCGTCCATCACTCCTTGGTAGACTGCGGGCAGCATGGCGCGGTCCACTATGGTCCTATCCGTGAGGAACAGTTCGTGGGCGTACCCCAGACACCCGGCGCGCCGCAGCAGGCCGAGGGCCAGGGGCCGCCCAGGCCGTTCATCCCCCCCGTACAGCAGTCGCTGCGCCTGTTGGAGCCTGAAAGTCCGGATTCGCGCAGCGACGTGAACGAGGCCCTGTCCCCCCTCCTCCACCGGCAGACAGAGGACCCCAGGCCTCTGCCAGTGGCGACCATGCCACACAAAGGCGGTGAACCGCCTCTGTATTCGCGCCACTAGCCCCGCCGGGGGTTGCAAGGCTTTGGCTTTGTGCCAGAGAAGTGCCGCGGCCAAATTATTTACTACGAGGACCCTCCCACGGTAGGCCATTCCCGGGGCGAACCGGGCCCACGCCGCCAGCGTCGTGCCAATTTTTCCTTCCACCTCCTCCCAATTTTGCTCGACCTCTACCGGGCTTCCCAGATGTACCCCGAGGTAGTGGGCTCCCCCCGCTCCCCAGGCCACGCCTCCCGGGAGCGCCAGGGAGCCCACCACCCCGCCCGGCCTCAGTGCTATTGCCTTGCTCTTTTCCCAATTTACGCTGGCGGCGGAGGCCCCCTCGTAGAGGCGTACCGCGCCTCGTACCGCCTCCACGTCTTGCGCGCTTGCCACCACGACGCACACATCGTCAGCGTACGCCGAAAGCGTGACCGGCGCGTCGCCCGCGCCCGGGAACCGAAAACCCCCCAGCGTTCCCCGCAGCCGTCGTAGGAGAGGCTCTATGCACAGAGTGTAAAGGATGCCGGACAGGGGACACCCCTGCCGGACCCCTCCCCCCACGGCCAAGGGGGCGCCGAGTTTGCCATTTACTTTAACGAGGCTGCTCACCTCGGTGTACAAGAGGCGCACCTGCGCCCTGAAAGCTGGCCCTACCCCATATGCCTCCAGCGCCTTGTACATATATTCATGCGAGACGCGGTCGAACGCCTTCGCCTGGTCCAGAAACAACAGGCCTGCGTCAATGCCGTGGGCGGCGGCGAGGTCCATAATGTCGCGCACCACCCCGACGTTGTCATGTATGGCTCTCCCCGGAACGCAGTACGACTGGTCCGGGTGCACGAGGCTCCCCGCCACGGTCTTCAGGCGGTTCGCCAGGGCTTTAGCCAAAATCTTGCAGTCCGTGCATAGCACGGACACCGGCCTCCAGTTATCCAAACGGCGCAGGTCGCCCTTTTTCGGGAGCAACGTCACGACCGCGCGCCTGCTGCTCTGCGGCAGCACCCCCGACCGGAGGCTCGCTCGCAGCACGTCGGCGAGCGCCGGTCCGAGCTCAGGCCAGAAGGTCGTGTACACCTCGGCGGGGAGGCCGTCTATACCGGGGGCCTTCCCCGCGGCGAGACTCCTCACCGCGGCCTCCAGCTCTGGCAGGGTGACCTGCTCGTCCAGCCGTTTGGTGTCAGACGAAGCCAAACTGGGGACGCCCTCTAGGAGTTCCGCCACCGCCTCCCCGTCAAACTCCCTCTCCGCAAATAGCTGGCCGTAGTACCCGTTGACGAGGCGCATGATTCCCTCCCCGTCGCACTGGGTCTCCCCGTCCGGCCCCGTCAGGCTGGTAATGTCGGTTCGCTGGGCCCGCGTGGCCCCCTGCCTGAAAAAGGCTTTTGTCGGCGCGTCCATGCTGTACAGGTGGGTCATTTTCCGGCCCACAAACCCCCTGTACGCGTCGTTGTCTGAGACGGCCCTCAGGAGCCGCTGTTGTTGCCGCAGCTCCCTGCAGCCGTCGGCGGCGGCGGCGCGGCGGGGTGGTGGCCCAATGCTTCCTCCACCACCAGCACCCGGGCCCGGAGAACCTCCTCCTCCTCACGCCGGGCCGCCACGCGTTGGCCCATGTAGGCCCTTGCCAGCACCCCCACCTGGGCCTTCCCGTTGTCCCACCACTGCTGGAGTGTGTCGAAACGGCCCCGTCTCCCCTCCCACACCTTCCACAAGGCCCGGAAAGCCGCCAGAAACCCACCGTCGTCCAACAGGTCCACGTTCAACCTCCAATACGGGCGCCCTTGCCCGCCGTGAGGGAGATGCAGGCGCACGTGCACCATGTGGTGGTCGGAGAAGCCGGTGGGGATTACCCCGCTCTCACCGAGCAGGCTGGCCCCCCCCGGCGCGACGTACATCCGATCCAGCCTGGCCAGGCTCGGCCGCCCTCCCGCACCGCACCTGCTCCAAGTGTACTGGCGCCGGCCCGGGTTTTGGAGCCGCCACGCGTCCAAAAGTCCGTTGTCAGCCACGACGGCCGCCCACTCTCTCGCCGATTCGGGGTGCGGTTCCGGCCCAGTCCGATCCAGGGAGGGTTGGAGTGTGCAATTAAAGTCTCCCGCCACGACCGTGACCGCTCCCTCGTCGCCGCCGGTCTCCGCCACCACCCGCCGTAATTCTCCTTTGAAGAACTCAGCCCTGTCCCTCGACCTGCTGGGCGCGTACACGTTAATCACGTGGGTCTTGGTGCCGGCGAGCACCATGTCCGCCACGACGAGGTGGCCAGCCACTATCTCCCGATACGTCAGGGCGTCTGGGGCGAAAGTCCGGGAGCACACCACCGCGACCCCCGCCGCCCCGTCCACGCCGTTGCTAAAAAAAAGGAACGCCCGTGCAGCATCTGCTGGCGGCTCGGGTGTAGCGCGGCGTCCAGGTGGGTTTCCTGAATCAAGGCTACGTCGACCGCTTGGTCGTCGAGGAGCCTGCACAGGCGGCGCCACCGGTCCTCGCTGCGCAGTCCGTTGCAGTTTATGGTTGCAACAATCAATCCTGGCCCCATCGCGGCTTTCAGGGGAGGTCCACGCACGCCGGCACCCTCGAGGCCACTTTTGAGGCCACCTTCTCCTTGCCCCGCAGCCTCGTCATCATACCCTTGATGCGGTAGCGCTCCCTCGGGGTGCAGCCGTACTCTGCCGGCCGCCGGCAGATCTCCTGCGCCGTGGAGAGGAACGCGTCCGCGTCCGGGAAGACCTTATGGGGCACCACCCTCTTGCCATAATTTTCCCTAAAAAAGGCCAGGATGGCCTGCGCGGGCATCTTTCTGTCCGGTTCTACCGGGCTGCAGCTCCACTCGCTTCCGCAGACGCTGCCCCCGTCGCCCTCATGCACGGTGTAGGCGTCGTCGTCTACGCCGTCGTCGTCGCCGCCTCCTCCCGGGGCGCCGCAGTCGTCATCGTCGCCGCCGCCGCCGCCGCCGCCGCCGCCTCCACCCGCGCCGGCATCCGCGCGCTCGGCGCGGCCGCCCCCGGGGTCAGCGTCACCTGCCCACCACCGTGGGTCCAGGACGCCGCTCGGACCGGGGCGAC